AGTGAGACCCTGTCTCAAAATAAAAAACAAAAGAGTCTGGGGATGTAGCATACTGCTGGGTTCAATCCCCAGTACCTCCCCGACACCACCTCCCAAATTGCTCTCTAAAGAAGTTTTGCCAAGTTATGCTCCTATTAATAATGAAAGTACCTAGGTTTGCCATGTTCATAAAGACAAAGTTCTTTACATTTCTGTCAGACTGTGGTCAAAAAACAGGTATTTCATTTCAACCACACTATTATTAATGAAGTAGATTATCTTTCAGATATTAGCAATTGATTTTCCTTGTAGTGGTCTAGATCCAATTTACAACATTCATTAAGCACTTGATAAACTGTAGTGACTTTAAAATTACACTATTCTCACTCAAGATTCCTTCATGATGGAAAAAAGAATTCTCAAAAATTAGGTGTAGAAGGTACATACATCAACACAATAAAGGCTACCTATGACAAACTAAGGCCAAAAACAAAAAAAAAGGGAAAAAACTAAAACTGTTTCCTCTAAGGTCTGGAACAAAACAAGAATATCCAGAAACACTCTTCTTAGCAAGAGCAATTAGGCATGAAAAAGAAGTAAAGAGCATCCATATCAGAAAGGAGGAAGTCAAATTATCCCTGTTAGCAGGTAGTAACATTTAATATGGAGAAAAACCTAGACTCCACTATAAAACTGATAACAAATTCAGTAAAATTGCAGGATACAAAATCAACAAACAAAAAACAGTAGCATTTTATATACTTATAGCATACTTGATGAAAAGGAAATTAAGAAAACAACCCCATTCATACTAGCTACCAAAAATGCAAAACAAAACATCCCAGGAATTAAATTTAGCCAAGAAAGAAAAAGAGCTCTACAGGGAAAATTACAAAACACTGATGAAAGAAAATGAAGATATGGAATGAAGAATGAAAAGATATCCCTTGTGTTCACAGATTAGAAGAATTAATATTTTGGGGGGGGATATAGTTGAATACAATGCCTTTATTTTATTTACTTGTTTTAAAATATCCATATCAAAAGTGACCTACGGATTCAATTCAACCCCCATTGTATTGTGGGGTTGTGGCTCAGTGCACTTGCCTAACACGCATGAGGCACTGGGTTTGATCCCCAGCACCACGTAAAAAAAACTAAATCAACAAAATAAAGGTATTGTGTCCATCTAAAACTAAAAATATTGTTTTAAAAAATGCTAGTGACAGGGGCTGGGGTTGTAGCTCATTGGCTGAGTGCTTGCCTCAAATGCGTAAGACACTAGGTTCCATCCTCAGCACCACATACAAAAATAAATAAGAAAGAATAAAGATACTGTGTCCATCTACAACTAAAAAATAAAATATTTTTAAAAAATGCCAATGACATTCTTCACCAAAATAGAGGGGAAAATATCATAAAATTCATATGGAAACACAAAAAACCCTGAAGAGCCAAAGCAATTCTGAGCAAAAGGAACAAAGCTGGGTGGAGGCATTACCATAGATGACTTCAAAACATACTACAAGCTACAGTAACCAAACAGTGTGGTACCAGTATAAAACTAACACAGAGATCAATGAAACAACAGAAAACCCAGAAATTAATCCATATACACAGAGTCACCTGATTTTTCAACAAAGGTTGCCAAGTACATTGTAGGAAGGTTAATCTCTTTATAAATTGTACTGGGAAAACTGTATATGTATGTGCAGGAGAATTAAACTGGATCCCTAACTCTCTCCATATATAAAAATCAACTCAAAATGGATCAAAGACCTAAGACCTGAAACTAAAAAACTACTAGAAAAGAGAGGAAACACTTTAAGACATTGGTACAGACAATGATTTTTTTTTTGGGGGGGGGAGTAGATAAGATCCCAGAAACATAGGTAATAAAAATCAAAATGGACAAGTGGATTTTTAAAATGGGTGAAGAGCCAGGTGTGGTGGCACATGCCTGTAATCCCAGAAGTTCAGGAGGCTGAGGCAGGAAGATCACAAGTTCAGAGCCAGCTCAACCATTCAGCAAGATGGTAAGAAACTTAATGAGACCCTGTCTCAAAATAAAAAACAGGTCTGGGGATGCAACTCAGAGGTTAAGTCCCTTGGGTTCAATTCCTGGTACCAAAAAAAAAAAGGAGGAGGCAAAAAAAATCTAAATAGGCATTCCTCAAAAGAAGATATACAAGTGGCCAATAAGTAGATGAAATGCTTAATATCAAAATCATCAAGTAAATGCAAATTAAAACTACAATGAGATATCATTTACCCATGCTAGAAAGGCTATTATCAAAACAACAAAAAAATTAAGAAATGTTAGTATGGATGTAGAGGAAGAAAACTGTTAAATCATGTTGGTGGAAATGTAAATTAGTATAGCCACTATGGAAAACACTTTGGAGGTCTTCAAGAAACTAAAACTAGAACTATCATACATGATCCAGCAACCCTACTACTGGGTATATATCCATAGAAAATAAAATCAAATGTATCAAAGAGACACCTGCACTCCCATATTTATTGCAGCACAATTCATAATAGTGAAATCCGTATCTTGAAAATCAACCTAAGTGTCCATCAGTGTACAAAAGGGTAGAGCAAATGTGGTATACATAAAATGGAATATTATTCAGCCATAAAAAGAAAGTCATGGCCAGGTGAGGTGGCACACACCTGTAATCCCAGTAGCTTGGAAGTCCAAGGGAGAAGGATTGCAAGTTTAAAGCAAGCCTCAGCAAATGTGAGGCACTAAGCCACTCAGTGAGACCCTGTCTCTGAATAAAATACAAAACAGGGCTAGGGATGTGGCTCAGTGGTTGAGTGCCACTGAGTTCAATCCCTAGTATTCCTCCACAAAAAAGAAAGTCATTTGTGTCTATATATATATACAATTAGAGGGCATCATGTTAAGTGAAATAAACTGGACACATAAAAGACAGTATTGCATATTTTCATCACTCATGTGAAAGCTAAAAAAGTTAATATCTCAAGAATTATAGAACACCGGTCACTAGAGACTAAGAAGGGTAAAGCAGGAGGAGGATAGACAGAAGGTTGGATAAAGGGTACCAAAGTACAGTGTTACACAGGAGGAATTAATTCTAGTATTCTATAGCATAGTAGGGAAACTATACAAACTATACAAAAATTTATGATATATTTCAAAATAATTAGAAGGGTCCAAAGATTCCCAAAACAGAGAAATGAAAATGCTAGAAGAGACAGAAGTGTTAATAACTCAGATTGAGTCATTATACATTACACACATTGCTGTTAAATTCTTTAGGGCTGGGGACTTAGCCCAGTGGTAAAGTGCATGCTTAGCATGCTTAAGGATCTGGGTTCAATTCCCAGTATTACAAATTAATTTTAAAAAATACTTTTAAATTTCTCCTATATACTACAAATTATCTGAAGTAAATCTTTTTTTTTTTTTTTTTTTAGTTTTTAGTTTTTAGTTTTAGGTGGATACAATATCTTTATTTTTATGTGGTGCTGAGGATCGAACTCAGTGCTTCATGTGAGCTAGGTGACCACATTACCACCTGAGCCACAATCTTAGCTGCCCAAAGTAAATCTTACTTTTAAGAAATTTAATTATAAATTAAAATCCAGGGATAGCTTCTCCCAACCTTTTAAAAACAAAATTCAAATTTGTTACTCTGGTTTACAAAACTCTACATAATATGGCCTGCCTATCCCTCTGGACTCTCAGTCTTCTTATCTTACTGTCTAGGATGTAACCACAGTGGGCATTTTTGTTTCTAAAATTTAAAAACTTTATCCAGCCTTGGAATTTTGCATTTGCTATTTCCATCTGTCAGGAATGTTCCTCTCCCTGACCTCATCATGGCCCACCCCATCTTCCCAGTCAAGCTCAATTAAATATCACCTCCTCAGAGATGCCATCCAGTCAAAAGTAGCCTTCAAGTCACATGCTAGTATGGTACCTTAATTTTCTACAAAGCATTTATCACAAGGTAATATTGCCCATTTATCTGTGCACTATCTTCCTCTGACGAGAATATAAACTCTATAATAGCAGTGAACCAGCATTTAGAGTAAATTCACAGATTTATAACCAAGGTTTAGAACAGCACCCAGCATGTAGGTACTCACTGTGTCTTTGTTATCAGTCTAATCTTATTTTGATACCAGTGTATGAGGCTATGATTTCATCAAAGAATGCTTAACAAAATTTTGTCTTTTACTGAATAAACCCATTTGTCTATATTAACAGAAAAGTAATAAATTCAAATAAGATTATTTTAGACAGTCTCAGAGAATTATGAATAAACAATAAAAAATATATTCACACAAAACCAAGATGTATTTTTTCAGTGACTAGATTAAAAAAAAAACAACACCACCACCAAAAACCACTTTAGAAATGTTGCAAATTTTACAAGAGCTTTTGGAGGAAAAAACCCAACAGATGAGTAGATAAACAAATTGTGGCATATCTATACAAATATTATTACTAAGTAATAAGAAGAAATTAAACCTTATTGATACATAAAACTTGGGTTGAATCTTAAATAATTGTGATCAGTAAAAGAAACCAGGTTAAGAGTATCATACATACTATATGATTCCATTTAGATGAACAGAGGTAGAAAGCAGCAGTGGTTACTTGGGATGGGGGAAGCAGGAAGGTGGAATTTCAGAGGGAACTAGGATATGTATAATTAATATCAATTACTGCTTAGCTTCTCAAAAAAATAATAAAATTTAAAATAAATATTATTTTATAAACTTTATCAGGAAGGTAGTTAACCATTTAAATGAAATGAACCAATCATAAGCCAATTTCTAACAACTCTTTTTGTGCATGCACTGGCATCAAACCCAAAGCCTCAAGCGTGCTAAGGCACTCTACCACTGAGTTACATCCCTCTAATAGCTAATATTTTAATATTAAACTCTATTACCTGTAGAAGATGGTGATTTCTCTGAGTGTTTGGCATTTAAAAGTTTTCTGCTAATAAATATGTAACCACAGGGACATGATTTACATGCAACAGGAACCTGTGGGGAAAAAAAGAAAAATATATTACTTTTTCTATTAGATTTTCAGTGCATATTATCTCCACAAATGAATGATAAGTGGCAATCTGATTTATTTAAACCTTACCTCCTTACAACAAATTATATACATATTCACATTCTCCTAGTGCTTTCTATAAACTCCATACTATACTAATACCATAACAGTAAACACATGACAAATATGTACAGATATGAGTAATCAAGAGAAAACCTTTTCAGGGTCAAAACCAGGGGAGGTACATAGGAAAAAGTATTATTTCCTAAAATGTTAATTGATAGCAGTTTATGCTACAGAACAAACTGTAATCCCAGTAT